GGGTACTTAGTGGGCAGAAAACATGCAAGTAACATCATAAAAAACCTTTAAGAACTTGTGAAGCTTATCCACTTTTCCCCATTCTTCTTCCGAAAGCATAAACATTTTAAAAATATTATCCCTTTGCCCCCAATGTTGTAAGACTTGCTTATAATAAATGGCATGTTCAAGCATCAAATAAGTTGAATTCCATCTCACACTCATCATGCGTATGGCACCACCCGTTAAATTCGTGTATACCCAACGTCCACGTAATGAAAAGCAATCGTAGTTTGTTAAAGAATCGTGTAGGATGCTCAGAGTTGGTTACAATGTGTAGTTGGCCATGCACTATACAGGCTTATCAGCGAATGCATGAAAGCAGTGAATAATTCCCCTGATCTCTCTCTCTTTTCTCTCGTCTTCAACCTCACGTCCATTTCAGGAGGGTGAGCTCCCTCGAACCAGCTCACCGGAAGCAGAATAGAAGCGAGGACTTATCAACTGGTATCAAAGCCCAGTTACGATGCCAACCACCAGGTCTTCGTCTGCAGAAGAGAGGACCGACTGCATTGAAGGAGATGTGCGGCAGACCACCAGTGAGTTGAGAGAAATCAAAGAGACCCTCTCAGCTCTGGTAGGTTAGTTCAAAATTTCAAATGGATGTCCTTGGCATCGAGACCCACGGATGTTGAAGGATCTAGCAGCAGCGGCGCTAGGAGGGGTGGAGCGTTTCTAGTCAAGGCTGCCAAAATCGATTTTCCTCTTACTCAGGTGATGATCCTCTCCCTTGGATCTATCGGGCCAAACGCTACTTTGAATTCCACGAGACCCCAGCAGACCAGAGGGTTTCAATTGCCGCCATACACATGGATGGTGAGGCTATTATGTGGTACCAATGGTACCGTAAGACCCACCCACAGATCACCTGGTTGGACCTGACTGAATCCTTACTTGTGAGGTTCGGTCCTTCCGGTTATAAAAACTTCAATGAATCACTCTCTTGGGTGAGACAAACGGGAACAGTGAGGGAGTACCAGAACGAATTTGAAAGGTTGGCCACCCGGGTTCACGGCTGGCCGAAGGCCGCTTTGGTGGGATGTTTTATAGGAGGCTTAAGGGAAGACATCCGAATAGAAGTGAATACCATGCAGCCGACCACCTTGATGGCAGTGGTGGGATTGGCTAAGCTCCAGGAGGAGAGATTGGACCAGCTTAAGAAGCTAGGGAGGCCTATTGGGCCTCAAGCGGGCCTAACCCAGAAAGGACCCTATCCCAAGATTGAGTCGAAACCTGGTCCTCTTCTTCTGACTCCAACTACAACTACCCTCAAACCGGTTCCCTTACCAATTCCACCTAACAAGAGGACTGGAGCACTGGCCCTGCCTTACCGGAAACTATCCTAGACAGAAATGCAGGCCCATAGGGAGAAAGGCCTCTGCTATGATTGCGATGAAAAATTCGTCTCGGGTCACAAATGCAAGGCCCAACATGTGTATCTCCTACAAGTAGAAGGAGAGGATGATTTTGAAACACAAACTGGCGACCCGGGGGTTCAGTAGATGGAGGTGGTGCCGGAGGTAGAATACTGTGTTATCTCCCTTCAGGCCCTGGCTGGTTACCAGGCCCCAAGAACCATGCGGGTCCAAGGGTAGATATCAGGGAAGAGAGTGGCTGTCTTGATTGATAATGGGAGCTCTCTGAATTTCATTACTCCCAGACTAGCCAAGCAACTCGGGTTAATGATAGAACCCGTCTCTCCATTTGTAGTCAACGTGGCCAATGGCCACCAAATCACTTGTGATGGGAGGTGTAAATCAGTTGAATTGAAGATTCAGGGTTACAACTTTAAAGTGGACCTACACCCGTTAGAATTCACAGGGGCAGATGTTGTCTTGGGCATACAATGGCTATAGTTGCTGGGCTCTGTGGTTTGTAGTTGGGCTGACTTGACAATGCAATTCACCTATGAGGGAAGTTCCTACACATTAAAGGGGGTTAAGACCCAACCCATAACTGCTGACAGTTTGGAGGTTATACTCAAGACCTGTCAATATGACTCTATTCCCTTATTGATGAGCATGGGCTCAATGCCTACTGGGCCCATTATCACCCCACTCTCAGGAAACACTAGCCCTTCCCCAAGGCAAACCCAACAGCTCCAGCTATTACTACAGACCTACTTTGACATTTTCCAAGAACCTACTTCATTGCCACCCCCTCAAGCCCATGACC